TCAGGTTCCGGGAAAGCACTGGATCCTCCTGCCCTTTTGCCCGTCTGCAGACTGCAGGCACAATCAATTGTAGCTTTCACCTACGATATTACAAGATTAATTCACAACAGGAATTAGCTAGCTATAGTATTATATTTGTATATGCATGTGGTGGGTGTGGTTGTGTTTAATTTAGATGGTCAACAGACTGACCGGAAAGTGAGGTGGCCGGTTCAGGTTGATGAGATCCTGTTAGCTCCTTGAGTTGCAGGTGCATGTTACTTATGAAGGCCATCGACGTTTGCTGCGGTTCCTCCATTGCATCTTTCAGCTTCCCAAGTGCCAAGCAATATGCTTCCTGCATCAATAATATATTATTATATATACCCCAGCCCCATTCCCAGTCCAGTCCCAGACAAGTAATAATAATGATTTTTTGTTAAAAACACAGACAGCAATATATTTAATTATAGATATATGCTTCCTGCTCATATTTCTTGATCTTTATATCTACACAGTTAATTGCATGCGTTACTGAAAAGACTTAGTGTGCATTAATTTGGGATATTAATTAACTTCCTTGAGTACGTACTACTACTAAGCTAGCTACTACTCTCGGTGTGCATTAATTTGTGTGTACGATGATGGAGCTAGCACACAAGAGAGAAGGATAAGGTTATAATATATGTGAAGAGGGATCAATTTTAACTAATTACCATGAAGTGATCGAGGTCAGATTGTCGATTTTCACTGGCCTTGTACTTGTTGTCAAGCTGCTTCATATCTCTGCTAACATCTCCCTCTAGGTCTAGGTCACCACTACTTCCACCGACCTGATGAAGATTTGAAAGAAGAAGAAGAAGACGACGACGACGGATCTAATTAATTAGTAATTAATAAGAATATATGCTGCTTAATTATATATGCAGGCAGCAGGAGGATGGATGCCCTATTTTGTATCAGATAGAAGGCACATATACAGATTGTGCAAGCAAGCTAGGTATACCCCAATAAGGCATATATTTAAGCCTTAACCAAACTTGTTTTGTAGCTATAAAAACCTTCACTGCAAATCAATTTACACACACTCACTCACACAAACACACAAACATAGGGAGTGGGAGAGGGATCTAGAGAGAGAGGGAGAGAGAGAGAGGGAGAGAGAGAGAGAGAGAGAGAAGAGAGACCTTCAAACAATCCAAGTGAGCTTCAACCAACAGCCCATATAAGGGATGGGTAGAGATTCTGTTTTTGAGGATCTCATGATCTTCAACAATCTCTTGTTTTTCCTTCTCCTTGTAAGTAGTAGAACTACTCAAAGCTCCTTCCATATTATAATTACAAATCTTCCAACGTAACCTGGAGAGGAGATCGACTCTAGCTATACCTATAAGTATAAGCAAATACAAATTCTCTGGACTGCACTAACAACAATTATGCATCATACCAGTCAGTCTTACTATTTTTGTTCACTTTAACTATATATATACTAGTCTACTAGTACTGTGACTCTCTCTCTCTCTCTCTCTCTCTCTATTATATATTACAACTAAGTGATCAGTGCAAAGAGAGTACAGACGCTCCCATTTTTGGAATTCACCACTGGAATGACTCATGCATGCATATAATTTATATTTCATATATTAATTTGATCAGTCTCTCATCATGATCAGTCGGTCAGAAACACTAATGCTTAATTGGGGGGTGGGTTTTTGGCCTTTGAAATCTCTCTCCCTCTCTCTTTCTCTCTCTCTCTCTCTCTCTCTCTCTCTCTCTCTCTCTTTTTCTGTCTTTATACATGAAAGAAAGTAACATATCAAAGGGGTTTCTCGAACAGCGGGGACTTTGCTAGTACATTTCTTCCTATTCATCAGTCTGCATTGTGTGTCTTTATATAAGTTTCCTTTTTTACTAGTCAATCCCTCACTTTTTCAAGCATTACTTCCAAATTCCCCACTGTTGATGTATCAGGGCTGCTTTCTTTTATCAATGTTTGCTCACATTTATTTGAGGAAGAGAATGTTTCCACTACTGTGGATGCACTCATACGAAAATGACCCTTCATTGCTGTGCCTGTGATATATATGGTATCATAGATTATGTACGTACGTACCCAGACATTAATTGATCTACCAAAAGCTTTTTAATAAATTATTATTCAACCATTTTCCTTTATATATAATATATATCATACAAACAAACTAACTGGTAATCAAAGGCAGATACATATATATATATAATGGATTAATTTGTAGTTAAAGTTGTTCATAATCTTTATTTTAACACAAGATCCGACTGGTTTTAGGGTTCACATCATTTGGTTATTGCACACACCAATTTAGGGTTCTCCAATCGCTTTGTTGCAGGTCTCAAATTAGGGTTTTGATTTTGGGAAGAATTGGGGCAAATTGGCGGGCTAAATACAACTTATGGGTGAGTATATGCAACATGACCATATACCCCAAGTTGAAATGCCACGTTGCTTCCACATCAATTGATTTAACGATTTTTCTATGAAAACTAACGGAATGAGGCAACCTTGGTCGCATAATGGAAGTTCAGGGGGGGACGTTGAGTCATTATAAACTTCAGGAGGCAACCAGAGACAATTTTGAAACCACATGGGGTATTTCAACAAATAACCCTAAATTATATATGTGGACTACGTTTTCATTTAGCTAGATCTACTAATGATTGTAAAAGCAGTTCAACCAGGAGGCCCCAGCTCGGGCAAGAGGCCCCCTAGGCCCCCAATCCGGTTTCCAGTGCCCAAGTCTTGCCAGGGCAAGAGCTGGGCTTCACCAGCCCGGGCGAGTCCAAAGGCAAAACTTGCCTGAGCTGCTGCTTAGGCAAGCTGACCTAATGTTGACATCATTGTGACGTCAGCAACCAAAAGAAGGAAAATTTTCAGATTTTTTAAAAAATAAATAAATACCTAGCCATATTCTTCACTTCCCACACCAAAACTCTATACAAATTCCTCTCCTCATATCTCATGTGAATAGTTGTTGCCCTTAGGTTGCCATGGCAAATGGATGGAAATGCTCCAAGAGATAAATATTTTTCATGCCCCGGCCCTCTTTTCTTATCTCTCTCCTCAGGTTATAAAGCATTTTAACTTAATCTGGTACCCTATAATCTATGGTATGCTAGAATACTTTACTAGCTACTTGTATATTATGTATGCCCTTTTATATTACGTTATCCTAGACTTGTGAAACGTGATAATTCCAAAAATTAGTTAGTCTTAAGACTAGTAGTATGTAATGTAAAAACCCAAAGGTCATTGTTCAGCGTGCATGAGGTGGTAGTATTAGACTAGTAATAGTATATGAGATACTGGATGGCCCTAATTACGGCCTATGATTCTATGAATAATAGACTGTCCTTTTGGGCATGCGCAGCAGGATACACATGCAAATTGCAATGCTATCTTAAATCTTTTGTTGGGTTGGGTTGGGTGATCCTCTCCTCCCCTCTCCTTGTCCTGTTAAAAAACTTATAGCTAGCCCAATGTCGTGCAAACCAAGCCCATCTTGAGGTTTATCTCTGGCTCTGGCACAACAATTGAGCCCATATATTTGTTGAGATAACACACCCTAGTCGGTAATTAGTATGGTAATTTGGTCATGATTGATGATTGAATTGAAGAGTTGCAAATTCATGAGTCGTGAGTTTTCCACGTATATATATATATCAGAAAGAATCTGTCGCTGCACAGCGGGCCATAGGATGCTAATCTTGTCTACAACAGACAGTGGCAATAACCAACACAGACATGTGGGTTTCTGCAGTTAAACAGCATCCATGTTGGAAGGTTTGATATGCATCATGCACCCCGATATATATACATACATACATACATGCATATATAGCTAGCAGATATCTGGCTGATATGATATGATATAATATAACAAGCTGAAAATGAAGATTATGACTAAATGATTAGACATGAGAGATCAGAGCTAGCCTAGGTAGCAGATATCTGGCCATGTGATTATTTTTATGGGTTTATTTATATATGTGTATAATTAGGACTTTACGAGCCAAATTCATCATGCATATATATAAATACTTCACGTGATGCTCCCGATGGACCATGTGCTTTGGAGGTGAACTATGATATATTGGGTTTGTTTTGAGGTTGACATGGTCTGCATTGCAATTTGCATCTACAGGAAGGAACAGAGATGATGATATGATCTGGCTTTCCAAATTAATTGTGTGCCAAGTGCCAATCTATCAGAGACTAAGAATATTATATTATATTTACCCTAAACTCTCTTCTAATTAAGCTTTTCCATTAATACTACTGTTGGATCCGAAGCATATATATCCAGGACCGGGAAGGAATTAAGGTAAGTCTTGGTTTAGCTAATCAATAACTTGGCTATGTGTAATATGTTAACATCTCCATGTAATCTTCATTGACAGTACTGTAAGGAATACAACAACGTACGTACGGTACGACGATGATCAATTGCAACTATATATATATATATAGTTATATATATAGTGCTTGCATGCTGGCTCATCGCCCTCCTCTAATACTAATTATATGCGTATATATGTAACACAGAAACATTAAGGTAGGAAGGATCAACTTCAGGACTTTCCAATGGTAAATAAATTATATAGGGCTCTTCTTCTTCTTTCTCAGTGCATGTGTGCATGGTGGAAGTAGTACTGCATATATTAAAGGCATGCATCCATATATATATATATATATTATTTTTTTTGAGAGAAGCATGCATCCATATTATATTAAAGAAAAATAGCTATATAGTAACAGTACGTACTGTTTCTCGCTAGTATCTCCGTACCAAGATGTGACTGAAGACTGGAGTTGATATATATATATATATATATATATGAATTTGTTATATACGCTCAAAACTTCTGGTTTTGCTTATGCCTACGCTAACTTACTCCAACATCCACTTGCCCCACCTGTCCAAGGCAAGAATCATACATATGCAGACAGCGCAGGCCATCAACACACACACACACACACATATATAAATATCTGTAGAGATAAGAGGAAGAGGCAAAAGGTGTGGACTGTTTTCCTCTATCGGCACAGTTGCAATTAATGGCTTTTGGGATGAATAACAAGCTGCGCATTAATACTGCTCTGGTTGCATTTATGCTGCTGCTGCTGCTGCTTCTATTCATCGTCGTATACGTAGCTGATGATGGTAAACATTATATATGGTTAACTCTCAAATTAATACTATACTTGTTGATCATGTTCATGGTATCTAATTGTCAAAAACTTCTTAAAATTAAGTCCTTCAATTATTTATAACATGACATTCTTTTTCTTCTTCTTGTCACTCACGCGTATATATAGGTACAGGAACAGGAGGAGTTAATGACAAAGTTGCAAGTCTTGTTGAAGATGAAGCCGCCGAGACCAAAACTACCAAAACCAAAACCAAAACAAAGCAAGAGAATAATCTCATGAGGGGAGAAGACTTGGACTTACTGGTCATGGATTACACCCCAGCTAGAAAGAAGTCCCCCATTCATAACTAAATTATTATTTAAGTATATAATATATATTATACTGAGAACTAAAAATATAAAAGTTTTATTTCTTAAACTATGTATTATAGCAGGGTTCAATAAGACCCGGGAAGGAATAATGTTGTAGTGCGGTCGTATTTATTTGCCACGACTATATATGTTCCATTGCATGGCAGAATTAAACTTTTCAATATATATCTATTTCTCATTTTCCTTAATTATTATCTGCTGCTAATTTGTGAGCCAGCCAATTAATTATACACTGACGTGACAGGCAATGATCAAGGATAGTTCTTTTCTGTGTTTTGAAATTGAAGGAGTTAGTTAGTCACCCAATTGCTTGAACTTAAAGATCCCTTTCCTCTATACTTCCCGCCCTTTTCTCTCTGGATTCGTTGTTTTTTGTTCTTTTATTTTGTGTTGTAAAAGCAGTCGTCATGAAACGTTGCCGTCGCCATGATATAATTGTCGTTTTTTGGCCTATGTATGCAAGGATTTGGCTCCAATTGTCATCCTTCAATATAGATTTGGAGTTATGACGTGGGGATGATGCCAAGTTGCATTGATTTCAAGTTTAGCCAGTGCGGCACTATGAGTTTAGTCGGTGTGGCACTATGGCTCTCTTCAGGTTGCTCGAGAGAATGTGGGTAGTGATCTTGTTTCTTAGTTTGTTTTAGTTTAATAATTCCCGTGAAATCTTTAGGAGTTTGATGTGGTTTGTTTTTTGTTTAGGATTTTTTATTTCCTTTTGGCTTTTGGCTTTTGACTTTTGATACAGATTTGCTGTTTCTGTCTTTGTGCAGCAAATCTTTATAATATATTTGAGTACATGTGCTTATGGTTGTTGATTCAGGGATTTTAATCATTTTTTGGGTTATGCATGCGTATTCTCTCCAAATCAATTCAACTTGTTGTAACGTTTGGTAAGTGGAGAAGTTGGCAATGTGCTTCTTCCAATCCAAAACCAAGAGACCATAGATTCTGGTTGTTCACTGCCATCCTTCTTTTTTTATTATTGTAAATTCAAATAAAATGCTTCATCTTATTGTTACATTTGAAGGATTAATAGCTATGCAATTAGACTTTGCCATTAATTTATTTCCACAAGAATGTCTAATTTTCTGTTCTGTTAGGAAGTACTTTTGGATTAATAATAATAAAAACCTAACTGAAAATTGGAATCAAAGCCTATATATATATAGTTTGAAAGAGCAGGAACTTTGGTATTGAACAATTAGGCTTAATAAGTAGTAAGGCAGGCATGGATATATATGCATAATTCACCAATATGGACAGATTTTAGGTTTCATTGTATATTTCTTTTCAACTTCTTATATGGATTCCGAACTACTACAAGTAGTTAAAAAACTTAAACTATAGAAGTGTTTTCTTATATATCTCCTCCTCTCATCTCCGATGAATTCTTTCCTGATTTTTATCCTGATTTTGTACAAATCATATTGCTCCTCTGCCCAAACGTCTGGCATGGCCTTACAATTAATGCTTTATATGCAACAGACCGTACCAACCTCGACAAGAGCGGCGTGAGGAATGTTGAGAGCAACTGGAGGCTCTCTGCAATTTTTATCACAAAACGCATAAGTCATGATCAGCAAGCTCTTCAACACGTCTGAGCCATGACGCACTGCTAAATGCACCTGCCCCAGGAAGTACGCTGTGCCACTCTCCCTTGCATCTATTAGTTCTTGCAGCTCATCCCTAACAGATGCTCGCATTTTCGGACTATTCGCAGGCAACATGAACCGCACCTTTTTTCTCATCACTGGACCCAAACCACTCTCCGATGCATCGCCCACCATTGGAGCTGGCTGAGTTTCAATATTGCTCACCAAGCCCACAGACTCCTCATCTGAGTTTGTTTCATTCAATGGAATCAAAGCGCTTCCATCAGCTGGTGGCTTTCCAACAACCACCATTCTTCCTTCTGATGAATTCATGGATTCAAACTCATTTTCTTCCATGGTAATGAACTCTCCGATTGAACTAATAATCTGTTCTTCAAAATTATCAGTGTCCCTAATAGGATCACAGTATCCATATCTCACAACACACCGATAAATCTTCAAATCTTTTGGGCCAACCCTGCCAATAAGATACCTCCGACTTGCTGGGACGTAAGGCATCGGTAGGGACTTGAACGACACGAAGATCAAAACTTGGTGAAATGCAGGAAGGTTGGTAATGAAGTGTGAGAAGAAAGCTGGAATTCCTGTCACTATATCAGTATAAATGAAACCAATGCCGGGAACCCTGGTAACCCCTAGGCCTGGGCTAATATCAGTAAGCCATTCTGCAGATACCTTGTTTTGTAAGTCAAATTCAAGCTTCTTCTTGGTTCCATAATGCCATGAAAGCATGACTGTCAAGGACAACGCCAAAAGGACAACCAAATACCAAGCTCCCTTGTGGAAATTCAACATACAAGCTGATACATACATCACCTCAATGGATCCAAAGAATATCAGACAGCAGACAGATTCAAACAAATTCTTCTCCCAGTACAGGGCAATTACGAGTGACATGAGACAAGTTGTTACGAGCATTCCAGAAATTACGGCCAAACCTGTGGGAGATTGAGCTATTAATATCTATCAGATAACAGCTATATGTAAATAATGAAGTTCCTAGAGAGTATGTCAAGGGTTGGTATACTGGTACCCTAGTACTAAAGAATACAGATACTGTTTGGAATGCATACCTGTGGCAGAACCAATTCTCATAATATCATGGAAACCAATTGTAACAGCGAGGCTTAGAACCATCAATAGCCAGTTGATATCAGGAATGTAAACCTGTCCATGTATCTTATCTGATGTATGAATAACTTTTACCCTGGGGAAACAACCAAGTGCTAGGCACTGATTTATGATGGAAAAACTGGCTGTTATGGTTGCTTGGCTTCCCACAACTGAAGCAAGAAGGGATAATGCTATGAACCAGTGGCGAATTCGGTCTGGACTTTCCAAAAACAATACATTCTTTATGTTAGATATCTAAAGTTGGCAGATGAAGCAACTAATAAAGAAAAATAAGTGTGCTTACGGGGGATGGATTCACTGAGATGATTGAAATCCGTAACATGCAAGTTTTTGGAGATATATGCAGCCTGGCCGGCATAGCATAAAACAAGGACTGGATAAATCAAGCATACAAATGTAATCTGCAGCAGGACACCATCCACAAGTTCATTTTAATTTCAGAACACACTTTGATATAAGATTCAAAGAATTTGAGATATATCAAAAACCTTGATCGATTTCTTTGTGAAATGACCTAGATCTGCAAACATTGCCTCTGATCCTGCAAAAGGTATGGTGTTTCAGGATCTAATGAAAACATCTGGTTCCGAATAAAATTACAACATTAATTAAAGATGGTAAAATGAAGCTCATGGGATCATAGTAAAACCTGCTACACACAAAATGATGCTGCCTAGTGACCTCCAACTTTTGATTTCAATGTTCTTAACAAATCTGTACATGTACATTGGAGAGACAGCATGGATAATTTGTTTGTTCCAGTGGAAAATGTTATATACACCGCCTCCACCGATAAATATCAGCCAAATGACAATAATTGGAGCAAAAATAAACCCAATTTTATGAGTCCCATAGTGTTGTAGTGTGAAGAGGCACACCAATATAGCAGATGCCGTTGGAACTGGTACATCTATGAAAAATACGATTCCAAGTGAATAAACAGATTAGCTAAGATATCCAAGTTATGACCAATATAGTAGATGCAATGGGAACCAGTTAAACTTTGGCCATCATGATTGACAGGCTCAGAATGTGTTGTGTTTATTTTCCAGGTGGTGTGTGTATTTCTCCTTTTAGTTTCTCCGGTTTCTTTGCTTTCCATTTTACTGGACATGTGTGCAAGAGTGCCTCTACAAAAATTATGTTGAGTTATCATGAAAAAAGTGTTCAAGCTTCTTCAGGTCACTGAACAGGAAACAACATAAGCAAAGAAGGTGGAACAGATGCAGTGGAAGTACCTACTTGATGACAAAGTACTCACATTTCTCAAAAGCATTTGATATGGCCTCCTGTTTTCTTGGTGAAGATGAAACTGGTAAGAACCACAAGATACAACTTAAGTGTCAGAGTAATGATTGACTATATAGCTATTAAAGGATGATTGAAAGAAATATATACTTCTCTAATTGAAGTTACGGCTAGGTCTTACATAAGTGTGCCATATCTGACATTGATCTTTGAACACCTGATGAAACTGAATATACTGAGGAAGACAAAGACAAAGACAAAGAAAACGAATCATTCAAACATTTAATCATATCCGACATAAGTTTAATGCAGAAATCCAATTTTCTTAGAAATTTCTAATATTATTTAGAAAAATTGACGAGGAATGCCAAACCAGATAGAGCTGGGGTAAGCACCCCAACACCGATCGTCATGCAGGAACCGAACAGAGCAAGGAACAACATTAAATAGTGGCTACTTTTATATTTCTCAATGGCTCTTCTAGCCCTTGATTCCACCTTTATCTTGAAAGGACTTCCCGTCTCATAATGCATAACCTCATTAGCACTTGTGTCATTTGGAAGCAGACCCACTTTAGCATGCCTACACAGGAGTGAATACAAAGCAAAAGTACCACCTACAAGATGATAAAAGTGAAAAATTATTGCACAATCCTGGCACATAAATTCCTATCATTAGGAGGATAGTAGATAATTACCTTCTCCATTGTCATCCGCTCTTAATACTATAAAGGCATACTTGAGTAAAGAAATGATGTTAATAGTCCAGAAAATACAGGAGAATAGTTCATAAACAGTCTCCTTTGATTTGATATCTTCTGCATTCATTGTCCCAAAGACATATAAGGGAGCAGTACTCAGTTGACCATATATTACTCCAAGGCTCTGAAATGACAAAAGAAGTGTATGCTTCCATGTCTC